GTTTTACATCCTACAGACTATAAATCAATTGGTTTTAGGGGTTAAAAAAGTAAATTGCAATATGCATCTCATTAGGTATTTGTATAAATGTATAAATGTATACTACAACGTTTCTGCAATCGAGTGTATACCGTATGTATATATATATATATATATATATATATGCTATATATATATTGTATATTGGTGGTTGTCAGCCACCATTCCCCATATGGAGCTCTTCCATGAGGTTAATTATTTACAACATACCACACTCATGTAGCCTGTGTTCAGCCAGTTTAATTTTCTTAGAAATAACYGTCATTTCTAGGAAATTAAACCGGCTGAACGCAGGCTACACTCAAGTCACATSTTGATTTTTACAGAGGGAGGAAACTGGAGAAACCAGAGAAAACCCTCGTGGCAAGGGAGAGAACAACACATCAAACAAACTCAACTCACATATGATCCAGTCTGAGCCAGGGCTCGAACCCGGACCAAGATGGTGAGAGGCGAGTGCTACACTACTATGCCACCCATGCATGGTTGCTGTTGCCATTATCATTGGCATTATTTTGCTATGGTATTCACATCTCCCATAGTGCAATTATTCAACCTTGGTATGAAACAAAACCTTTACCAATCTTTTTTTGGAAAAATTTCCACCGCATGTGGAATGGAATTTCCAAGGAAYAGGAAAATTCATGGYAGCATGTATTAGTGCTTCTTTGGGTAACTATAGCTATCGAATTATAAAAATATTCAGATATTTTCATTAATACCTGGACCAGTTTCACAGGTTAATGGATACTGGAACAGCTTTAAGTATCTTTCCAAACATCACTTTCATTGACCCACCAATAGGGTCTTTCACCTCTCAAAAACCTACAAAAAAGAAAGAAGAAATCTAAAGCTGTGATCTTACTTAAAATCCACAAGTTGGCAATCCAGTGGTAGATACTGGGTTTGTAAAGAGGGGTTCCAAGATGGTTTGCAGAAAAACCTGGCTTGAGTAGCCAGGTAACCCAACGGGAGAGAAAAGTACATACAAAGTTTCATCCATCAAAACCATCCTTGTCCCAGTGCTCCCTCAGCTGTTTTTTTGCAAAAGATAAGGGGGGCATGCTAAATGGTTTCAGAAAGTTTGATTTGATGGAACYACCTCTGGATCTCCCACAGCAATCCCAGTCCTAGCTTTGGGCAATGTATATAATAAATGCAGCTTTCTATGTGATTTTATTTCCCATTCCTAGGATTGAATCCCAYTTTTTCTAGCTCAAATTACCCTTCCCATCCAAGACCTTCACAACAGTTCTATTGAAAATTCCTAGGAATTTCAATTTCTTACACCCACAGACCATGTCATACCAGTAAAAAGTCTTCTATTCCCTATAGGAAGCTTTCATTTATTAGCACATGGGTGGGTGGTTGGCAAAATTACATGGAAAGCTTTAGAAACGTACCCCCCCCCCCATGTGCTAATAACTGAAAGCCTTCTAACAACTGGTATTACCGTACCATTTGAGAATAAGGTTCAACCATTCGGATATCACAGCCACCCACAGTACCATCAAACCGACAGCTTTATCCAAATGGTACGCTACAGGAAAGTAAATCAARATAGAGTTCCTGGGATCTCCACTACGACTTAGAAACAGCATCTGGTTTGTGAAGCCAAAGAATGCGTTTTGTTAATATGTAATGAATCGCACCCCTTCAATGTKTAGGACATCCATCTTTGTGAGTTGGCAACTAAGCCTTCGACMCAGGAAGCCCAAGCAGATGTTGATGTTTTTGGAAAACAAAAAAATAGGAGAATTCAGTTTACATTTAAACTTCACCAAGAGATTAGGAAAAGTAGAAACAAMGACTCAAGGAGGTTTTTTAAAATGCAATCTATTCAGATAAACATTTAGCTTTTTAAGTCTCGCACATATAAGAAGTTTTGTGGGTTACCTGTGGTCGGTCGCAATAAATSTCAAATCCAAGATGGCGGACAAGAAGACACCTTACGAAGTTTTAGGAGTAGCTCAAGAAAGCACAGAGAAAGAGGTAAATATTCCACAATGTTTAGTTTGAGAGAGCTTCTTGAATGTTCTTACTGGCTTGCTGTGGCTTTGTAGATCACAAAAGCATATYGCAAGAAAGCTCTTATCTGCCATYYTGACAAGAACCCTGACAATCCAAAAGCGGGTGAGTGGAGCTAGTTTTAAAGTTTCGTTTGACAGCTACATTTTATTAATGATTTAATAATACTCCATTTTTTACATGCATAACAGGCTCAGGTATGGTAAGCCTTGTTATTCTAAATATCATTTTATGTGTATACGTTGATTTTTTAGAGCCTGAGTGCTTCGGGTATATTGAACGTAACTGTTCTCTATGCTTAGCTGGTTCATCCAGTATGAAGTCCTGGACAATTTTGATTTTGTAGAGCCTGAGTGCTTCGGGTATATTGAACGTAACTGTTCTCTATGCTTAGCTGTATAAAGTCCAGTATGAAGTCCTGGACAATTTTGATTTTTTAGAGCCTGAGTGCTTCGGGTATATTGAACGTAACTGTTCTCTATGCTTAGCTGGTTCATCCAGTANAAGTCCTGGACAATTTTGATTTTTTAGAGCCTGAGTGCTTCGGGTATATTGAACGTAACTGTTCTCTATGCTTAGCTGGTTCATCCAGTATGTAGTCCTGGACAATTGTAATTTTTCAAAGCCTGAGTGCTTCGGGCATATTGAACGTAGCTGTTCTCTATGCTTAGCTGGTTCGAAGCATACCCATCAGTTGGGGGTCTTTTGGTTGCTAAGAACGTGTTGCTCGTTATGTTATCAATAAAAAAAAAGTTAAATTGTTAAATTGTAAAGTTTCGTGAAAATTGTCGATGATCCAGAGACTGTATGAATTTTTGAACCTTGCAACTTTTACAAAAGATATGTATGATGGCAGGTAAATTTCTTTGTATGATTTCATATGTCGAAAAGATCATAACTTCAATAGTTTACGTGTGATCTTCAGAAAACCTCACAGTTTTACTTATATCTGTATGAAAACTTTGAATATCAAATCTTTTTTCAAATTAAACAAATTTCACTAAAGCGTGACGTCCGCGCATGAAGCATGTTAATGCAGTCTGATCAGGTCCATCAGTCTTGTTATATAGTTTTGATTGATGAAATGTTATGTGATGAACATACGATCATGCCAACTCCTTTTCAATTATTTTGAGAATTAAATATTTTACAAACTTCATTACTCAAGATTATAAAATATTGAGTAATAAATTAAGTAGCGATCCCAAGCACATCTCCTATCCCAAGAGATACTTGATACGCATCAATTAACCCTACTCACATGTGGCGTTCCAAGTCTCCATGACAACCAATCGTTTGTAGACACAAGAACCAAGCTGAACGGTACCAGTGTTGGATTTCATACAGAAAGCATCAGTCGTACTGCTACGCATGTTAAAAATATTGGCTTAAGGAGGTAGTCGAGAGAATCGAGTTTGCAACAAAAATGGCTACAGCGAATCTGCCGGCCATTCCACATCCTTTATCCCGCGCTGAAGAACCGATGAACATGAACGTACGTGGTATATCGAGAGATGGRTCGCGTTTGTCCTCTAGGCAAAGCCTTGGCTTTGGAGCTGATTTTGATAGCAGGAACAAAATAAACGCATTAAGGCCCATAACAGCGGASCAAGTCCCGTGGAGACTAACAAAATCTTCTAATGGCCATGCTCAACAAATCAGTCCTAGAGATAGCGGTCAACAGCTTGGCAATATACCTGAAGGAGTTGAAGTCAGACGGTCGCAAGACCCAACAAAACCAACCATTCCAATCTTCGGTAAGTACAGGTCTATCATCAACAAAACGGTATTTTTCTCCGAATGCTTAAATGAAAAGCCGAGTTATCACTCTCCTAGCTTAACTTTGCCTTTTATAACTTTGTTTTTGAAAGCATCAGTTAACTTAAGTTTGGATGACTAAAGTTTATTAGTCAACGGAAAAGTCACAATGAACAATGAAAATTCTTTACAACTTATTTCCTATTCACGTACAAAACAACACAGTATCTAAAACCACCAGAACATAAGCATTATTTCATTTATTAAGCATAAGTCATCAATGAGTTAGCTAGCTGACTTTATAGCTTTTAATTTTACATATAAAACTCATTGGTTTCCAGCATTAAATACGCGTAAACACAAGCGTTCTGTAAGTAGTAAAAGTAAATGTATCTGTATTAAATCTTTTAAATTCTCGTAACTTGTGTTTCTTCGGCAAGAGCTTTTCTGATGCCGGCTAGGTCGAACAAAAGAAAAAAAGCCTTAATAGGTGAACTGATTAATAAGTTCAACACTCCTAAAACTAGACGATTTGACATACTGATAGAAACTTATTAAATATGCATAGCAATTATAAGTTTGAACTCGGGGGAAAGCCAGTACTTCGTACGAAGGTTACTCCAAAATCGAGAAAGACGAAAAAATAAATCGTTCTTTATTCCTAACCTTATATCAAAAATAATCACAAAATATTTTCATTATTTTTGGCGGTGTTTGTTTTTGCCAAGGTGCTAAATAWAAAAAAAAGATAATTAATTTCACAAGTGTGGCAGAACTTTTTGTGATATTTGTATAGGGAAATATGAATGTCAGATTAACGATATTCTCYAATGGTACTCTATGAATACTTCACAAGACATTATACATCATGGAGATAACCCTTTCAAGGTCTAAATAAAGATATATCGCATTCAAAGCACAAAAAAATCAACTATTTCTTTATATTTTCATTGATGACTTTACCACCATCATATTTCAGTTCATTTAAGAAATGAATTCATTTCTGGTTATTCAAATTTTTTTAGGTCTAAATAATTTTAGTTTAAAGAGTTTTTAAAAATGGTGTTTGAAACATTAATGTTAATAAAACTTCATGCATCATCTTTTAATCCTGTCCACCACTTTGATATTCCAATCGCCCCTGCCTCTCTCTCTCTCTCTCTCTCTCTGGGGTATGGAATCCTGAAATTTTTTCAGAACTATAAAAATATTACCCTCCTCAGACCCTCACCACCCTTTGGCAGCCCAAACCACTCTCTGTGGAGGAGAATGTGAATATTCCCTAGAACTGCACAATTAATACAATTCGCATACCTAATCATAATGCAAATCTCTCAAATGTCAGGCAGAGGATAGATATTTTTTTCAAACCATTATGTTCCTTACAGGCAGCAGAGCAGATATGGCAAGTAGAGCTGAAAGCCGTCTATCAAGATTGAACAGCGCAGCATCAACATCACATGGACCAGAMAAAGCAATTGTTGACGAGGTATGATAACTGCTTATGAATTGGTTACGATCAGGGCTCGAAATATGAATTTTTATTAGCCTGCCATAATAAAGAAGCATCGTAAAAGGAGGTCATTCCAGTAAATGTTGCATGCCATTTTATTATNGTAAATGTTGCATGCCATTTTATTATTCATTTGGCAGCACATCGTTATTTTTGCCTGGCAAGACTGAAATTTGGCCTGTCATTTGGCCATTGGCAAGCCGGTATTTCGAGCCCTGACGATGGAAGCAAATTGAGCAATTCAATTTTGGCATTCCAATTGGATTTATTTATTTTGATAAAATGTTCCATTTAATAAAATATGCTTTGATTGATGTAATTGATATTTGCCATAGTGATGATTCTGGTATATTTATTGACATTTGACATTGATTGGTTGTTGAGTCTTGTTGTTGAATATTTTTACTAAGGTAACACAGTGGTAATGCTGGTCAATCCCTTAACTCTAAGTGCTTATTGACTTTGAAATACAAAACTCTTTAAATATATAACAATTTAGAAGTAGAATTTTCTCCAGCCTATTTTCACTCTCYGAGCCAAAATATAGTCAAAGCATTTTTAGCTCAATATTTCCCTCCATCCTAAAATTCTAATTTTCTTCCACACAAACTCTGTTATTTTGTTCTTTCTCTGACCCCCACCTCTCAGAAATTCCAAATTCCTCTGTGGCGGGGGAAGGGGGGGAAGGGATGATTTCTGGAGCTGTGCACTTTGATAGCCTGCTTCACATCTGGAATTTTCTAGAAAAGGCAGGATGGAACACAGGCTATACTTTGATAAACAACAGGTTTTCTTTGAAAATAAACCAAAATTAAATTAGAGAAAAGATTGAGAAAACTGTGATATACAAATAACATGAGCATGCCTGATGTTATTACCATGAAAACTTATAAATTATTAATGTATCTAACTGTCTTGCTATTATGTCATATATAGTTGGAACATATCCTTCGGGAGAAGATGAAAACAGGATATTTTGTTATTAAGAACTCCTTCARACAATGTGATCCAGAAGGAAAAGGAATTATAAACAGGTATATACTTCATAAGGACCAATCATTGTTTAGAGGGGGAGGGGGCTGGTGCAAATTTAGGTATGTCATGTTTCTATCCCCTCCCTCCCCCAAATTCCTGTTTAAAACCATGTGATCGCAACCACCTAACTGTGTTGTAACATATTAAATATGGCGTACTTCTGAATCACTTACTTTGTGTATAGTCTTATGAAATATTAACCCAAAAAATTCTTTTTCAGAGAATCCCTCTCTAAAATCCTAACCAATTTTGTTGGAAGACAAATAAGCTTAAGTCAATTTAACAAATTAATGGTCAGGTAAGTAAAAGAACTTTAGGATTTAGTCTTAATKTCTTTCATATTTTTTTATTATGATTTCAGCATGAAGAATATATAGCCAACATTTAATTTTTAAAACTAATTAACATAGTACAGGGCTTCTGACAGGATGCGGGGAAAAAATTGAAATTATGCGGGATTTTTTTCCGGATTATGCGGAGAAAATGGCAAATTATGTGGAATAGGATGCGGGATGACGTCACAATCGAAAAAATTTCTGAATTTGTTTTTACAGGATTATACACTTTTTTTAAAAATTTTGCTTCTTTATTTAGCTCCAAACTTTGTTTAACTAAAGTTTTACGCAATTATTTACAGTTTTACCTTGGTTTTGCTTCTTTATTTGACACTGGCCTTGTTTATCTCAGGTTTTTAATCCACACGTGTAATCGTCGTGTTTTTCGCACTACACGCAATTCTTCTCGATATGCTTCTCTCCAAAACATTGCTTTGAATGTTTTTTTTTTTTTGAAACCTTAAATTTATGTTCTGTTTTTGAAGCTCAGCAAAAAATCTCAACGTTATTTACCACCTCACCTCACCTTGCACAACAATATATCGTTTGCATATTCGTAGTTACTGCGTAGTTATTATAGGAAATTAACTCGCTCTACAAAATCAAAAATCCTTATACATAGCATAATTTAAGTCGTGTTAATTTCTTCTCTTTTTTTCCATATTTAACGGCTTCATAATAAATTTATCCATTTTGAGCTATTTTAGAAGTCGCTAGATCTCAAATGTTTACGAGAGAAATATTATTTTACGCGCGAAAATCTTGTCTGCGAATACCCTTCTAGCCAATCAGAGAGTACGTTTTATTTAAGGCTAGTTACCAGGCTCTTTCACGGTTTTTAACTAAGAACGCCTTGTTCCTTTTCATTACGCGTATGATTCAATATATAGTTTCAAACGCTGTTTATTGCTTGAAATTTGGTAAGTAAACTATAAAAAATTCGTAATTTCATCAAAATAAGAAAACATTATAATACATTTCTTCTTGACTATTAAGTTTTCTTTAGATTTTTGACGAATTATGCGGGATGTTGCCGGATTATGCGGAAATCGTTCGATTGTGCGGAAAAAGGCGAATTATGCGGGTCCGCACCCGCGCATCCTGTCAGAAGCCCTGATAGTATAATGTAAAATTCAATATGCCTCAATGTTAAAACTTTTTGTTTATTTTTTTTTTAGATTAAGGTTGGATCACAAGAAGATGATATCATATGATGAGTTTTATGCTGCATTCAGACCTCCAAAGGTATTAATAACTTATTTAAAAGTCACAGGAAAATCATGCCACACCAGCTTGGCATATCCAAGGGATCCCTCCTAGGGGCATTCATGTTCATGCAACGAAGGGGGATGAAGTTGCTTCAAATAAAAARCCTGCCAAACTTACAAAGCATTTGCATAGCAGTCCTTATTAGGTTGCTGTAATCTCCTTTAAATTGACACTAAAGTTAATATTGTTCTAGTCAATTGCAACACCTGAACTTCGGAACAGGACTGTGATTTAAAGCAGCAAGACCAGCATGAATGCATAAAGATACGCAGAATTTATTGCGCACTTCATCAGTTTAAAAATGTTATCAGCAACAGCTCTAACCATTTTAACAGCAAATATTTCTCCGGGGACCGGGGAAAAGTGCTAACCCTCGTATTGGTAGTTGAATGTTGAGTTCCCTGCCGTGTCCGGGGGGGGGGGGGGGGGGGGGGGGGTGTTCATTTGACTAGTGCATAATGGTTTGTTGATGTCAGTGTGGAGTGACACTCCTCATTCGAAACCCTGGATTATGACCCAACCACTTCAACTTCAGATGTATAAAGTACGATAGTTTAAAATACGTTCATTATCAATAATGAAAGCATATTTTCATTTTTAAAACAGAAAGCTGACGAAGGGCCAGCATGGCTTGAACTTGAAAAACCAAACTTMAAAACAATGACAGCAGCACAAGTACATGCACACCTCAAGGAAAAAGCAAAACAAAGGTTTGAATAGCAAAAAAAAAATAGAAATGCCTTTACACTCTTCGTAATACACATTAGATTATTGGTTAGTTTTCAACTCCTTCCTGTAGGTTTTTTTTGCAGTTGTAGCTTTTCCATCTAACCGTTCAAATGTTAGGCAACAGTGTAAAGGCACAGACACACGGTGCAACAATGCATGCAACATTGCACGCAGCAGGACTGTTGCATTGTGTWTGTGCCCCTGAAACTTGTTGCACGGAACGTTGCATGCAACAAATCTGAAGTTGAATCGCGCTTTACTCTTGCAACATTGCGCGCAACAAATTTCATCGTGTGAACATGGCTTCAACATTACCTGAAACATTTTAAAATTTCCAGCCAATCAGCTTGCACCAAATTTGTAACTGCTAACCAAATATCTTAACATAACAGGCTGACACAAGCGATGTTGCGTGATTTTGTTGCAATTTGTTTCACCCCGATTCAAATATATTGCCTGCATATTTGCGTGCATTGTTGCACCGTGTGTTCGCGCCATTACATAATGTCGTGTCTTCTCGTTCGTATGTTGGCGGGATATGACAGTGAATTCCATTGGTCCATTAACATTGGGTAATTTACAATMAGGGTGCAATTATTTTTGTGTCCAAAAACATAGTGAGTCATTTTTGTAAGAGCTTTCATAGTGGATAAAAAACAATAGGCTTAATTTACCTTTTCAACATTTAGATTTCTAGACGTGGCTGAACTTATCCCACAAGTCAACCCAGGAGGTTCAGGCCGAATCCTCCGCCCTGAATTACGTAACGTCCTGAATCAAATGGGATTTTATATGGACGATGATGAATTTGAAAAGCTTTGGCTGAAATACGACACTGACAATGTCGGCACCATTAAGGCCGAAAAGCTTCTCGGAARACTTGGGATAACAATGACGCCTGGAGAAACACGTGACGGGCCCAGATCACCGCGGAAACTTGAGGTTGAGAGGAAACAGCAGCTGGATGTGGAAAGGTGGTTGAAGAGGAAATTCAGGGAGGSATGTTCGGATATCAAACATGGCTTCATGGAGCTGGATATTGATCGTACTGGAAGGGTGAAGAAAGATGATTTCAGACGTGTGTTGGCGGAGTTTGATTTGAAGCTGAACTCCAACAAACAACTAGAGGACTTTCTTGCAAGGTTTGTAAACTCCCTTGTCCCTTGTATATTAAAAGTAAGATAAATAATTTTTTAAACTCGCATGCCATTTGACGAATCTTGTGAAGAGATTTTTGAATGGCCTTTAGTTTGGAAATAGCTACCTCAAGTTCGGCGGACTCAAATCTAAATTTTTTAATGCTCATGGGGGGAGGGCCTGCAACTCAAATACCCCCTAATCCTGTCGCCCCTGGATACGTCTCACCCGGGATGCGCCCTACTCTCGATATAAGTTGAAATTGTTCACAATATTTCTTGTCAAAATTTAAAATTAAATATTCAAGATTTTCTTACTTTATTTCCAAATTGAAGATATCTTATCAAAATACTTCACTCCCTTCCTCTTTTTTCCTTACTACTTTATTATAAATTTGTTTGCATTGCTTKCCGTTCAACATTTCGACTTCTCTTTTAATAATTCTGTACTACTTCTTTACTACTTTCCTTCTTATCTTACTGATGCGTAACTGTTCTTCTCAATACTCATGAATGCATTCGACTTTTCTCCGAAGCGCAGAAATAGTAATGATTTCAAACCTGAAGATATGATTTCATTATTACCCTTGGTATTTCAGGTGTGGTGTGTCTTTATCTGACGGTCAAGTTCCTTACAAGGAGTTCCTACGTCGCTTCCAGGATAGAAGTGAGACAGGAATGCCACATAAAATCCTAGCCAACCCACTCCACAGGTTACCATATATAATGATAGTAGTAACACATATATATACAAACCTTGGGAAGCACGGGTGGCGTGTGCGACCTGARATCGAATATAATTATGATTAAATAGTAAGCATTACCAGTTTACTCATTTTTCAATGGTCTTCATTAATCAGGTACCACCATAGTGAACAAGGAAGTACGTTTTCTACAACCTCAGCTGTAGAAGCCAAATTGATGGACCTTTTCCAGAAAGATTTTCTGGCTTTACTTGGAACTTTCCAGTAAGTAATTAGTCGTTTTGATCAACCAACAAGGGTCTCTACTGGGGACCATGTGGCCTGCGTTGCATCGGGACTTTTCCTCTGTGAAGTCCGACTTATGCGGCGCAGGCTAGAGCCATGATGCTGTCCAGATCTCAATCGTACTTTTAGGTCTGAGGTTGTGTAACGCTCTGTTCGTCACCCTCGCTTTGTCCCTGTGAAAGTTTTATTTTTCTCACTTACACAAAGCTATGTTTCTTTGATTGTGTTTAGCAACATAGACCGAAAGGACCAGGGTTTGTTGACTCAACAACARTTCCGCGCTGCCATAGAAGGAAGATTTGAACTGGGAATGAGCGAAGACGATTATGAAGAGTTTCTCAAGCGAGTTCCAATAAACAACGAAGGAATGGTTAAATATGTTGAGTTTATGTCCAAATTTGACACCACGTAAGTAACATTGAAAAATATCAAATGTTTGAGTCTTGAGCTATCTATTTTTTTAATCGATCTCGGGGCGGATAAGAAAGAAGATATAATATGTGTCTTAACTCTAAAATTATTTTTTTCTCGTTAGGGACACCAAGAGCCTCTTTGATCGATCTTCTGTCTTAGACATCAAGCACAATCTGACTCTACGTAAAGACTTTGAAAGCCCACCGCCGTCGCCAAGGAAACGTGGCAGGCCAGTGTATACCATAGACTCGTATGACAGTAAAGATGGTCGTAGTGCAGACGAACTAAAGAAACTGATAAAACGAGTTTTGACAAGTAATTTCCAGGCTTTTGA